TCGTCAGTAGCGTGATTAGGTGAGAGAAAGCAGCAGCTTCGTCGGTACCCCACGTAAATGTGACGTCTTTCTTTAGAAGCTCTGTGAGGGGTCGAGCGATGGTTGCGAAATCTTTCACAAACCTTCTAAAATAGGAGCACAATCGATGAGGGCAGAATGCGTCGATAGGAAGTCCATGCCGAAGATTAGGTCGTGGGGGCAATTTTCAAGCACCGTAAATAAAACGGGAACATGGCGGCCGGCAATACTAACATGAGCGGTACACATTCCAGTGATGGCCACAGTTCCACCATCAGCGACACGGAGGGCTTCAGTTGCTGCAGGCGTGAGGCCTTTTTTGAGCAGGCGACACAGATGAGCACTCATTATAGACACTTGAGCTCCGGTATCGACTAACGCCGTCAAAGAAATACCGTCCACATACACCTTAATCAAGTTCGTATCAGTGGGGAGCGTCAATGGAGGATTTGGATCATTCGCAAGCGATGCAGCACTACCTCCCGGAGCTGCATGATCTAGTTTTCCGTCCGAGAGGATCCACAGTTGACCGGCGACGGATAGCTGCGTGGTTGGGGCGATGGGGAACGGCGACGTTGAGGTGGCGGTGGACGAGCAGTGGAGCGGCTGTTGGGGATGTCGGAAGAAGGGTACACACGACTGGGCGAATACCGACAGGAGTCCTCGTATGGTCGATTAGAGGAAAATTGGCTCCAGTTTGAGGGCGTCCAAGTGCTGCGGCAGTAGCGGGAGATATGGCCAACTCGGTGGCAGCGGAAGCAGATCGGCTTGCCGTCTGCAGTTCTCCATTCCGCCGGATTGTGGGATCGCGGAATAAAATGTAAGTCATGGCGTGGTGCATTTGTTGTCATTGGTCTGGAGACGGGTCGGGGGACAGAGCAGGCCACAGGAAAACCAAGCATTGCAATTTCCCGCCTCACGACGGCTTGAATAACGGAGACCGGCGGAGGCGTTTCTGCGGCGCCATGGTCGAGCGGATGTGAAGGAAATGGTGCCGGACTTGACGCCTCAAGCTCCCATCGAACTATTCGTGTCACGCTGTCCTGCATGGGTGGTGCGGCACCGAGATCGGTGCAAGTGGATGTAACAGCCGTGTTTGGTAGCCGCGTAAATTGAGGCAGAACACGGCGGCTTTTGGCCATTTCGAAGCGACGGCATTCCTTGATGGTCATATCTACGGTCGTGACATTATTGTAGACGAGCAAATTGAAGGCGTCGTCCGCTATGCCCTTAAGTATGTGGCCCACCTTGTCACTCTCTGTCATTTGCTCGTCGACTTTTCGGCACAACGCGAGCACATCCTGTATGTACGAGACATACGACTCTGTTGACGACTGCACACGAGTGGCGAGTTCTTTTCGCGCTTCCATTTGGCGACCGGACTGGTCCCCAAAGATGTCACGTAGTCGCTCTTTGAAGGTATCCCAGCTGGTGAGCTCGGTCTCATGGGCGTCGAACCAGACCCGTGGGGTGCCGTCCAAGTAAAATATTACGTTGGCGAGCATCATGGTAGGGTCCCATCGGTGTGTGTGGCTAACACGCTCGTACATATATAAGTGGTTATATCAGAAGAAAATAAAAGAAAGGTGCCGACCCGTAACTGTCTCTCCTTACGAGGACACCTCAACAGGTCAGCAGAGGAGTGGGATATGGGGAATAAAAGATATAGGGAGAAGGAAGGAGGGATAAAAAGAATAGAAGGAAAATAGACGGAGAAGAAGCCGCCAGCCAACGAGAGGAAAAAAGAAGGAGATAGGAAAGTGGGGATCCGGTCGAAGCAGTCCAAGGGCGGGGTGCCACAATGCGAGAGCTGCACGGCATCAGGAGACCGCGGAGGGCGAACCAGTCGGCGGGAGCTACGCTGAAGTCGGAGATCGCGAGGGCACAACCGTCCAGCTTGAAATCCTCCGAGCGAATCACGCTCGTACATACGGAGCCAGTAGTCGACGTCGAGCCCAGGTTGTGCGGAGAATGTACCTGGATCACGGGGTGTGGGCATCGTCAGGTATGTGGTGGCTGGAGCTACAAATGGAGACGCTGGCAGGCTGTTGTCATTGGTAGCCATGGCCGGAGACTGAATGGTGCGGCCACTGCGAAGCTTCGTGGTGAAGACGGGGAACGTTCCACCTCCACCAAATATGTTACGGAAAAGAAGAGACGCCGTAACGACAAGGCTGGGGATGAAATATATTCCAAACCAGCGGTAATGGCGTGCCCGGTTCACCAGCGATCGAGCCGAGACAACCCTTCGTCTTCCTCGTCAGGCACACACGCGCGTCGCCCCCTATAATGTCAATACACATGCATGTAGCAATATATACGCTAGACTATGTATTATGGCGCCGCAGTCAGATGGAAAAACTCAACTGAACGGTTCCGTACACAGATTGGTCTGATCTTTGTGCTTCTGGCCTGCTTCTGGTTCCGTGTGTGTTCGTGTGACTTGGAGCTGTTTGCTGAGGAAACAAAAATCAGCGTATGTTCAAGGGTTGTGCTTCACCACTTTATTCTTTTAGGCTTGACATTTCGAATCGGGTCACGAAATTGTAAAGGATTTGTTCTTTCTTTCATAACGAAACCGAAACCAGCAATAAGCAACGCCGCAAATGCAGTTCGCCGCACGCAAGTACGAATACTAGGCAAATCTGTGTACTACCCATCATTCCCATAGTCGCTGAACGATCGCAGTGCATGAGTTCCCTCTAGTTAATTTTAGAAAGCTCTATGGCGAAGGCAACAAAACGCTTCCTCTGTAGTGGTGGTGGTAGTGGTTAGAAGATGAGAAAAGGCACCTAATTTCTGCAACCCGGTCGGGAGCACGGCGCAGTGCCTGTTCCTCTGTAGTGCGGCGTTCACATCCCCACTGCGCAAGCGCGTCCCCCTTCCCCCTCTTTCTCTCTTTTTCTAGGTTTACCCTCTCTCTCCCAACATGGCACCTAAAGTAACGAAATGCTTCCTCAGTACGCACGATTGCGTCGTAGCCCTTGTTCATTGGTCTTGCAGTGTTTCACATTTCTGCGAGACAAAGCGCGTCTGTGTGAGTGGTTTTTAAATGACAAGATAAGTGAGCTCCGTAACTGTCTCTCGGGGGGGAGGACACCTCAGCAGTAGCTCACGAGGGGTGGGGGTAAATGAGGTATTAAAAGGATAGGATTAAAATGTAAAAGATAGAGAGGAAGGAGAGAGCGAGGCGCAGGGACAGCGAACTTCGGTGACAGAAAACGACGGAAGTAAGGAGGAGATAGGAAAGATGGACGCGGTCGCGGGAGTCCGAGGACGGGGCCCCACTCGGCAAGAGCTCTCGTCGGCGTCGGGAGATGGCGTAGGGCGAGCCCAGTCGGCCTGAGCTGCGCTGTCGTCGGAGATCACGGGGGCACAACCGGTCGGCACTAAATCCAGCGAGCGAGCGCGTCTGTAGCCGTTGATCGTCGGTATTACAGCGTTCCACGTTTCCGTGAGACAGAGCGCGTCTGCTTTGGTTAGCGCGGGATCCGGTTCGATGTCTCCGGCATGTGCGCTGAGGGACAGACATGATCACCGGCAGCGTTCAAGGCAGCGGCCACCGGCACCAAGCGACGGTCACCGGCAGCGTTAGTTGGGTCGGTTAGGTAGAGGTTCCGAATGTTGGTGTGACGTAGACGAGTTCCTGTGGGTGCCGTTTTCCATCTCCCTGCTGCTTCACACGCACGCGTGGTTCCTTTCGGCAGGAGATGGTGCAATTTTTTCCCGCCGAGTTTGTCCAGACCAAAAAAGCACGCCGGTGTCGTTGGTCAACGCTGCTAATATAGACGGCGTCTGATCTTCAGGAGAAAGCTGTGAAAAAAATTAATACTCAGTCCACACCTGTGAAACCTGAGTAATCAGCAGAGGTTGACCAAAGTACCTGAAAGAAATTCTTCAGGACCTTTAGAGCTGGCAAGAAATTGAGTACACCTGATTATTATTATTATTATTATTATTATTATTATTATTATTATTATTATTATTATTATTATATTATTATTATTATTATTATTATTATTATTATTATTATTATTATTATTATTATTATTATTATTATTATTATTATTATTGCACTCTGATGGTGCTCATCAAAAGATGCGGATAAGCCAAGGAACGGGGCGGCTAACGCTGATAAAGTTATTTTTTCATCTACTTCTTTTTTCTTATTTAATCTTTTTCTATATTTTCTAATACTGCCATCTCTCCTCTTTTTCCTTCGCCTAACCCTCATTTCTATTTCCCGCCACTTGTTATGCTATACAAAAATGTGAGAGGTTAAACTCTAATTTGCTTCTTTCCCTCAACCTTTCTTCCCTACTCACCGCCACTTCCGTTTCCCATCTACTTGCTAAACGATACAATATAATACGCATGCCAAGTGGTGCCCTCTTTCCTCTTCCTTTCTTTTACCTTCTCTCTCACTAACATTCCACCACCTTGCGATATATAGCTATGCTAGACAATGACTCCTTTTGGGGCGATTTGGCACTTGCATTGCTTAGGCACTCTTGACTGTGGCACAAAATACATAGGAATACTAAGTTTCGGCACCTCATTTTTTTTTCTTTTTTGCTCCTTCCTTTTTCACAAAATACATTTTGCGCCCTAATCATGCGTACCTAAGCAGCTTGGCACCAATTCTTGGCTCATACCCACTTTCTGTGCCGCATACCGACCGAGTTTTCGCATCCGACGCCGGACCAAACGCCAAGCTTAAACAGCTCTTAAAAATGCTGTCTCAATGAACGCCGACACCCTGCTAAAAGGAACTTCGGCTAGGTGAATCAGACATTAGGCGACGCTAGAAACGCGCTGCTGATTGAATACGCGTTTGCTGCAGAATCGACGCGCTATCAGCGTCGAAGCTCGTGCCGTCAAGCCGGGGCCGCAACAGGATCCAATCCAAAGCCAATCTGTGGCTGGTAGGCTGAGAGACGAAGCATCGTCGTCATTCGAAGTTGACGCATAGCACAAGTATCATGTCTCGCTTTGCCCGAATCGCTCTCTGGTCGCGCAAGTTGAGCACTTCGGTCATTCGCAAGAGCAACCACGATGACCACGACACGTCAGGCATCCCGGGCTCGGTACGTGGGACTCGCGTTGTCGTCGGTATTGCATGCAGTGACACGCTTTTCGCTTGTCTTCGCAGAACCTGCCGTTCAAGGTGAACAACAAGTACGGGCTTACCATCAGGTTCGCCCTGTTCTTCAGCATCCCTTTCGCGCTGCCTTTCTATGCTGTCAGGTTCCATCTGACGAAGAAGTCTGCATGAAGTCGGTGAGTCTTTCTGCCTTGCGAGTCTCGGACGATTCTTACTTGCCGTTTATGGCGTTTCCTTCCTTTTACAGGATTTCTCTCTGCACAAGGTCAAGTTTTTTTTAACAAGATTCTGTTGCACAAGAACCTCAAAGCTTCGTGAAATATAAATAATGAACGAACACACAAGTTCACTCAGCTGTTGTTGTGTCAGTGCTAGCTACGCTATACGTATTTGTGCACTTGAGCATGGATGTAGTGTAATATGGGCGCTAGGATCGATATTTCAACTACCGAATGGAGTCAACGTGTTTCTTGAAATTGCCGCTGGTGTTTGTGAATTTCAGAAAAAGACCCCATACAGGAGGTCAGCTGTTAAGGTGTGTGTGTGTGTGTGTGTGTGTGTGTGTGTGTGTGTGTGTGTGTGTGTGTGTGTGTGTGTGTGTGTGTGTGTGTGTGTGTGTGTGTGTGTGTGTGTGTGTGTGTGTGTGTGTGTGTGTGTGTGTGTGTGTGTGTGTGTGTGTGTGTGTGTGTGTGTGTGTGTGTGTGTACGCACGCACGCACGCACGATAGGAGGACCTATCGAAACGTCGGCCAGCCAGTCTGAGGCACTTCCATTGTTAAACCAGATTATCCCGCTACTGTGTGTATGTTGGTGTGTTCCAAGAACATACTGCAGAAACCTGCAGCGGATGGGACGGGAATCCAGCCAGACAACAATCAGCGACGATGATGCCCATGTCGGCGGGTCGGAGTTGTCATGTGACCGACCAACTGACCAAGATTTCTGAAAATTTGTAGTGTCTTGGCTGGACTCGTCTTTGGCACTGCCAGTAAGAATGCCAACTGGACACTGTTGCCGAGCCTGCCGCTTCCACGGAGGAGACAAAAAAAAATGAGAATATCCACGGACTGAATGATAATTAGTGGGGTGAAGCGTCCATCAGTCCGTGCGCGCTTTCATCCATCCGTTCATTCTTGCTTCCGTGCGTCCATTCGTGCGTTCGTCCATCTGTGCTTCCGTCCGTCCGTCCATGCGCCCGTCAGTTCATCAGCTCTTGCGTCCGTCCATGCGTCCACCCCTGCGTTCGTCCATGCGTCCATCCGTCCGCGCGTTCGTCCACCCATTAATCCGTCCATGCGTTCGTCCGCCCAATAATCCGTCCGCGCGTTCGCCCGCCCATATTAATCCGTCCGCGCGTTCGTCCGCCCATTAATCCGTCCGCGCGTACGTCCGCGCATCTGTGCGTACGCCCGTTCGCGCGTCCATCTATTCGTCCGTCTGCTTGTCGATCTGTCCATCCGTCCATCCGTCTGTTCATTTAGTGAACACTCAAAGTACCGCCATCTCGCATCTTTTCATATATTCATCATATAGAAGTGCCGCCATGCAGCGGACTTTCCAAGGACTAAACGAGATGGCTACCTACTACTACTACTATTACTACTACTACTACTACTACTACTACTACTACTACTACATACATCACGGACGCACGAACCATGGCATCAGAGCTTCGCCCCTAAGATGACAATGCCCCCTAACGAAAGTATAAAACTTTCTTTTGCTTGTTCATCATAAAACTACACGAACTTCATTTGTATTGGTTTATCTGTATTGGTACATCTGCATTGGTTTATTTCACCAAGAACTGTCCCCTAGCGGTGAATCCTGGAACTATGTGGACACGTACTACATACATCGGTGATGACCAAGGAGGATCAAAAAAGTTGCTGGAGTGGAAATGATTGCGCAGAATGGAAGTCGTTCCTCTGGCAAGATGGCGGCTGTGGCGGCCATCTTACTAGGGGCATGACTGAGTATCATCGTTCAGCGATTGAAAACGAAGCGTTTCCCTCGCACGCCCAACGAGTTTGATGTGTGAACTTCGTCGGGTCACATAGGGCTCCAAGTGCGTCTTACAGTTACTACTTTTCCTTAGTGAGCCTCTAATCGGAGGCAAAGTTCGTTGAAGATTCAGCCACCCATACTTGTTGTTGTGTGTTGTTTCATCAGGAACAACTTTCTTTTAGTATAGAACTAACGTAGAATTTACATAACATATCAAAGCCACTTGATCTTCAAATGGGCAATATCAGAAAAGAGCATGTTTCCGCCATCTTGGCAGAGGCAAAAGGTGGCTTCACTTCTGCTGGCAAGGCATTGCGGGAGCTTCCACTCCAGATTTTTCTTTAATCCTCCTTGGTGATGACCGACCCATGCCTTAAGGAGCTTCGCCCCAAAAAGCTTACGAGGCAGCGCGTCCACAAGGCTTCTCTTCCGAGGTCACTCCTTCTTAAACACAGCAGCATCCTGGCTAACTTGAGCTCCACTGATTGCGGGGCTAAGGCCTTTGCATATGTCAGAGATTTTCTCTCCAAACGCCAGGCACTTCTTCGGATCGAGGACGAGGAATATGGCCCGTACATTATGGGAACACGGGGTACCCCACAGGGAGCAGTGTTATCACCACTCCTTTTCAACATTGCTATGATGCGCCTTCCAAGCGAATTGGCCAGGGTGGAAGGCACACAACACGCAGTATATGCCGACGATATTACAATCTGGACCACTGAAGGGAGCCTTGGTGAAATGCAGGAACGCCTTCAGCAGGCCGCATCCATAGTCGAGGCGTATGCCAACGATTGTGGACTCCAATGTGCTCCAAACAAATCAGAGCTTCTGCACGTTAGAGCGAATCCAAGAGATAAGTCAGCCATACACATCTCCCTGTCTGGGGTTCCCATCAGAGAGGTGGAGGAGCTCCGAATTCTGGGCCTGTTCATTCACCACAGACTCAGACCGGATTCCACTATAGCGAAACTCAAGAGAATAGGCGAACAGGTAGGGCGCATGATCCACCGCGTTTCCAACAAGCGGGGTGGTCTGCGGGGCAGAGACGCGCTTCGGCTCGCGCATGCCTTCGTGACTAGCCGAATCCTCTACGCCGTCCCATACCTTCGCACTAACAAGCAAGAAGACGAAAGAATAGATGCCATCATTCGTAAGGCTACTAAACGAGCTCTGGATCTCCCGGTGGCCACTTCCAACGCCAAACTGAGGGCGTTAGGTGTGCTCAACTCCTACCAGGAGTTGCGGGAGGCCCACCTTATGAATCAATATACGCGGCTCGTGCAGACGGCTCCCGGGCGCCGCCTGCTAAACCGCTTACATATACAGCACACTTGCACTGCGGAGGAGGCGGAGCGTATTCCGCAACTGTGGCGGCATATGCTCTCGGTCGCTCCACTCCCCAGTAACATGGATAAGCACACGCACGAAAGCAGAAGACAGGCGCGGGCTCGGACGCTTGAGAGGCAACACGGCTCCCGACCTGGTGTATTCTACGTAGATATAGCAGGGCCTTCGCCCACGGGATTTTACACGGCCTCTGTAGTTCACCGGGAAAAGCATGTCAATGGGCTCTCGTTCCGAGCACAAAATCCAGAGCGCGCTGAGGAAGTCGCGATAGCGCTTGCTGCTGCGGACCCCAACTCGAAAGTTATCATCACGGACTCCAGGAAAGCATGTACTCATTACTTGGTAGGAGAGATATCCCCCCTAGCCAGCCAAATTCTAAAACGGGCTCTCGCTGATCCAGCCCCGAAACGCATCGTATGGGCTCCTGGCCATCAGGGCCTACGAGGTAATGAGGCCGCTGACGCGGCCGCCCGAGCGCTTACCCACCGGGCTCCTCACCTTGGCTCTTATGACTCGGAGGCCAATACACCGCTGCTGCGGTTCAAAGAAATTCTCACCTATTATCGTGACACTCACCGCCTTTACCCGGCTCCTGCGAAGGGGCTGAGTAAGGCGGAAGAGCGAACTCTAAGGCGCCTGCAGACAGGTACTCTACTCTGTCCTGCAATCCTAAAGCATTTCGATGCGAACACAGATGGGCGGTGCCCACACTGTGGGGAGACGTGTGATATCTTCCACATGGTATGGGCATGTCCGAAAAATCCCCACCTACCCCCTTCCCCTACCCCTTCCCGAGAGGCATGGGAGACTGCCCTCCTCGACAGCTCATCACTAGAGTCTCAACGGGCTCTGGTGAGACGGGCGCGAGTAGGGGCCTCGTCATGCGGTGTCCCGGACTAAGGACGCCGACCATGTAGCAGGGTCATGCTTTGGCCCCGTACCTCTCTCTTTTACAATAAATGTTTTTCATCATCCTTCTTCGTGCTTGGTGCTTCATGTTCCCAGCATGCCGCTCCTGTTATTTCTCGGCGACAACTTTTCTTGGCGTTGAAGCGAAGCCAAATCACGTGCATCCTACTCCCACTGAATGTAGTTCCACAATTTCGCCCGTACTTTCACCGTGAAATATAAAGAAGCCCCTCCTTTATTTTCTACATGGAGCTATTTGAGACAGCACACCAGCAAGACATCGTGAACTTTCTTACAGCGCAACACCAGAAAAAAATACAGGACAGGGAAGGAGCAAAAGAGAAAGAAAAGACGGCGCTGAAAGAAAGACAGCGCCGTCTTTTCTTTCTGTTCTACTCCTTCCCTGTCCTGTATTTTTTTCTGGTGTTGCGCTGTAAGAAAGTTCACGATGGATCCTAACCAACTGGCCCAACTTACCGCCTTACCACCAGCAAGACAGTTGTGTTTATTTTCCTTTACAGTGTTTTTGGACGCGTGAGAAAGTCCTGCCTTTTCAGGTGTACCTCAAACGCTGAGCGGCGTCCGCACCTACATGAAACTCTGACGGTGCGTCCTCTTCACTTTCCACAGCGTTATGAGACTCGCGCCAGATCGGACTACCTTACGCAGTGGTACACGTCAGCTCCGCCGCTGAAGCTTTTTCTCCAATGCCAAAAAAGTTGTCACCGAGTATAGACTTAAGATAAATTATTGACAGAGCCATCGCAGTATTCGGCCATTCCAGCGACGCAGGCGGCGCCATGTAGCCGCAATCCGAAGCTGTCACGCGGTTGTAAAACTGCGACACAGTTCGGTCGCTCAGTAGTCGTGAACCGATGAACGCGTCTTCACGCTCTGCGACGCTG